CCGCTGGCCTGTAAATGAGTGAAAACTGCAGAGTTCTGGCCATTAGATGTAGCTCGTCTGTGTTGGGACATTCTGCCTCGAATTTTCCCTGAAACTCTCAGACTGAAGAAGTCTCTTGGAGGAGAGACGAAACGTTTCATTAGAGAAGAACCCGTCCAGAAGACCTATACAGTTTTTTTCTTTTTTACACTACAAAGAGTTATTTTTCTATCTTGACATAAAATCAGACTAAAACCTTCATTTTAGATCAGTTCCCTGAAGATTAACTGTGTTTTTTTTTACTTCTAATGATGATGTCACTGCTTTCGGAGGCACACAGAAAGAAGTTGGTCAGTAAAACAATGGAAAATGCCAGATTAAAGTTTATAAATGCAGAAGGGGATAAAAAGTTTAATGTTTGTTTTGGTTTGATGAAACTAAAACTGATCCTCTGTGACCATTTGGAGTAGGTCTGTGAAATTAATCGAGTTAACTCATTAATTTTAGTGCTGGGCATAGATTACAAATTTTAATCATGATTAAAATTTACAATCACTTTACTTTGGCTGAATATGTAGGTTTATATTGTAATGCACTCAGTGCCAGGTCATGAGAAGTGTTTCTCAAACAGTTTGCCTGGATAAATAAAGGTTAAATAGATAAAAATAAAAGTCCATGTGTAACACAATGTGTACAGTTTTATTTACGTTTTCTTATGGCTTATTTATTTATGTTTTGCTGACAACTGTGACCTTAGTGTCTATCTTTAATTCCTCACGTCATTTGGAATGAAAATCATTGAATTCTTGATTTAATCTCATTATTCTGCATAAAATTTAACTGACTCAAATATGTTTGGAGCATTTTTTAGGTCTTGATTTTTGTTGTTTTTGTGCAATCGAGATGATATTTTCATGATTTGTTATTGTATGTATTTCTTAAGCACCATTTTTTCAAAATAAAGACACTAATTAATAACTCAAGTGATTTATTTTACCAATATGCAATAACGTCCTGATGCATCTCAGTAATCCAGGTAAAAATTCAAAAAGAAAAACAATTGTATAGGTCTTCTGGACGGGTTCGTCTCTAATGAAAAGTTTCGTCTCTCCTCCAAGAGACTTCTTCAGTCTGAGAGTTTCAGAATGTCCCAACACAGACGAGCTACATCTAATGGCCAGAACTCTGCAGTTTTCACTCATTTACAGGCCAGCGGTCACTCTTTCAGAGATGAGGATGTTCTCATTCTTGATAGAGAGGAACGTTGGTTTGAGAGAGGAGTAAAAGAAGCCATTTTTGTGAAGAAAGACCGTCCATCATTGAACAGAGGTGGAGGACTCCGTTTTCAGTTGTCCCCCTCCTACAGCGCTGCCATTGGCAGTATCACTCCACCCCCTGTTAACAATAGGTGTTAATTAGGTGTCAACGACAGTGTTGCTTAAAAGCCTGAATTTTGCCTGAAACTCTCAGACTGAAGAAGTCTCTTGGAGSAGAGACGAAACGTTTCATTAGAGAAGAACCCGTCCAGAAGACCTATACAGTTTTTTTTCTTTTTGATAAGCAATAACGTTAAGTTTAAGATTAATCGTGATTAATTGTAATTAATTCACAGCCACCTTGGAATTAATAGATAAACATTTTAATCATTTGACAGCCCTAACTTGGAGGAAAACTAAAGTACGGCGGTGGCTGCATCATAATGTGGGGTATGTTTTGCTCCTGTAGACTCACAGTCAGACAACCGTGAAGATCTAATGACTCCTCCTGACACTGKTTCATCACAAACTCAACACCCAGAAAGATATCCCCAAGGTTCAGCTCATCTCTTTGGACAGAGCAAGGCAGCTTCCCTGGTCTCAGATCCTGGAAACACACACAAAAAATGTTAAAAAAATAAAATAAAACGGATCACGATTCGATTTATTTCCATTTCTGTGTTTACCTCATGGAACGGGAACGCGAGGACATCCGTGGGAACGTTTTTCCTCCTGTATATGCCATTAATCTGCTGAATCTTGCGGTTGTCGACGCAGATGATGCCCAAATCAAACTTCTGGATGCCCAGGATGTGCCTGAGGGTGTCCACGTCTTTGCGCAGCCGGGAGCGACGGATCGATACCACCTTCTGCAGGTTCCGGATCATTAATCCCATTTCAAACTGAACCGCAAAGCAAGAACACAACATGACATTTCAACACATGGGTAAATATGAAGTCGACCTCCTACGACCTGATGAAACTGACTCCGTCGGTGGGATTTAAAGGTGACACACGACTCTGAAGCTACTTTAGCAGCTTCCGTTTACATATTTTTTAAACTATATTTATTAGCCTCTACATACAATTGTCCTGGCCTGTTTAAGCACCGTATGTTTCAATCAAAAGGTGGCACACATACCGATAAAGACATTTAATGCTTTAACATTCATACATTGAAAAACTGTTTCATAGATTACAAAGTGTGATCATAACAACCTGTATTTATTTACGATTAGTCCAGATTTGACAAGTGTGAGTTCTTTTAATTTTGAACTACAGCTATTTTTCTGTGGTTCTGATCCAAAAATAAAGAGTGAACTAAAACCTTTTTATTCTAAAGGCGGAAACTCACTTCCGCGCCGCCTTAACACATCAACACACAGCTAATCTTTGTTATGTATGTGTTGTAAAGTTGTTAAAATAAATTAAATAAAAAAAAAAACGTATTGATTATATCAGAAAAAATGTGGCGCTTGCCTTTTTAAAATCTCCTCGATGTACTGTTGACGGAAAAGAGTTTCTTCGGGACGGGGGACTGAGAAATTTGTCGGACCGGAACCGGAAATGCAAATATTGAAACGAAGCGAGTAAGCTGCAAGTGTTATTTATATATTTTTAATAATCGAAGTGCAGTGGAGTTTTCTTATCGGTTTGTTTTTGTTTAATATTTGAGGAAATGTTTTTATTTTTGTGATTATTCAGAAGAAGAAGAAGAAAAAAAAAGATTTTCGGACACGTCGTATGAGCTGTTTGTTGTTAGCCGATGCTAAGCATTAGCATAGCGCCATGAATCCACCTAACCCGTTCGGAAGTCCACACGGCGGAGCTTTTCAAACCCCGAACAGTTCCAAACCTGGCCTGTTCCAGACTTTCGGACAGCAGAGTACCGGCTCTCCGGGACAAGGTTTGGGCTTTTTTCAACCGCCAACCTTTGGACAATCGTCTGTCATGAGTCAGCCATCAGCTCAGGCCCTGTTCGGACAGCCGGCTCTGGGAGTGACTGGGTCAGGCTTTGGGAGCAGCAATCCACCGACTTTTGGACAGAACCAGAATCCGGTTTTTGGAAATACCAGTGGACAGAACCAGACCTCCACATTTGGCCAGACCAGTGGACAGAACCAGACCTCCACATTTGGACAGAACCAGAATGCGGTTTTTGGAAATACCAGTGGACAGACCCAGACTTCAGCTTTTGGACAAACTAGTGGACAGAACCAGACTTCAGTCTTTGGACAGCCCAGTGGACAGAACCAGACCTCCACATTTGGACAGACCAGTGGACAGAACCAGACTTCAGTCTTTGGACAGCCCAGTGGACAGAACCAGACCTCAGTCTTTGGACAGCCCAGTGGACAGAACCAGACCTCCACATTTGGACAGTCCAGTGGACAGAACCAGACCTCCACATTTGGACAGACCAGTGGACAGAACCAGACTTCAGTCTTTGGACAGACCAGTGGACAGAACCAGACCTCCACATTTGGACAGACCAGTGGACAGAACCAGACCTCCACATTTGGCCAGACCAGTGGACAGAACCAGACCTCCACATTTGGACAGTCCAGTGGACAGAACCAGACCTCCACATTTGGACAGTCCAGTGGACAGAACCAGACCTCAGTCTTTGGCCAGACCAGTGGACAGAACCAGACCTCAGTCTTTGGGCAGCCCAGTGGACAGAACCAGACCTCCACATTTGGACAGCCCAGTGGACAGAACCAGACCTCCACATTTGGACAGTCCAGTGGACAGAACCAGACCTCAGTCTTTGGACAGCCCAGTGGACAGAACAAGACCTCCACATTTGGACAGTCCAGTGGACAGAACCAGACCTCCACATTTGGACAGACCAGTGGACAGAACCAGACTTCTGTTTTTGGACAGACCAGTGGACAGAACCAGACCTCCACATTTGGACAGAACAGTGGACAGAACCAGACTTCTGTTTTTGGACAAACTAGTGGACAGGCTCAGACTCAGGTTTTTGGACAGAGCAGCGGACAGAACCAGACCCAAACCTCTGGACAGGCACCTGTATTTGGACAGCCCTCTGCGTTCAGGCAGGCGCCAGGCTTTGGGAAACAACCCCCCCAGTTTGGGATCTCCCAGATGGCCTCCAGTTCCACCAGTAGTTTTGGACCGCCCATGTTTGGACAACCCTCCACCAGCAGTATATTTAGTGGCACTCAGAATGTGACGACCCAAAGCAGAACAACCTCTGAGTTCTGTTTCAAGCCGTCCAACGAGGCTCTTTTCAAACCCATCTTCAGCGCCAGTCCAGAACCGGCCACCCCTCAGATCAAAACCATGTCCAGCTCTTTTGGAGGCGCCGGTTCCCAAACCAGCTCCAGCACCAGCGGCTTCTCTCTCTTGGCTGGAGCCAAGTCCGGACCGCTCGGCTTCAGCTTCATGCAGCCGTCTGCAGCCGGTTCTGCTCAAAGTATCCAACCAACAACCGGCAGCAGCGCACCAAGCAGCACTCTCCAGTTCACGTTTTCCCAACCAGCTGTCCCGTCCAGCTCGAACACATCAGCATCCACCACCGAGCCCACCACCCCGTCATCCTTCAGCTTCACAACCAAGAGCCTGCAGGCTCAGCCGACACTTCCCTCAGGGGAAGCAGGCTTTGGTCAGACTCCAGTTTTTGGTGACAACAAAGCCAAAGAGGAAACTGGGACAGACGATAAAGGAAAGATCCAAGAGGACACCAACGTATTCGCACGTCTCGGCAAACCCGCCAAGCGCAAAGAAGACCCAGCGACCTCCAGCTCGGGCTTTGACCACCCGCCAGCCGAGGACGAGGCTTCGCCCGAAGCGGACTCGCCGAGGCATCCCTCCAAGAGGCCGCTGATCAGGTCCCGTGGTCTTCCAGGGAACCTCTTCACCCGGGCGCTCAGCGGTATTTGCAGGGAGCGGGCCAGCACAGTGAGGCGAGAGGCCGTGACTCAGAAACTGGCGTCCAAGCAGGAGGAGGCGGCGACAGTTCAGGTGGAAGAGCCGTCTGCCGCTCCACCTGCTGCACAAACGCTGAGCCGGGTCGTTCTGGAAAAATCTGAAGGTTCAGGTGAGACTTGGACCTGCTTTCATATTCAACTAAAACACCGTGAATTATTCAAGATAAGTTCATTTATTTATGGATTAGGGCTGCAACTAACGATTATTTTAATAATTGATTAATCTGTTGATTATTTTTTCGATTAATCGACCAAATCATTAAAACGCTTAATTAAATGAATATGAGTAGATATTAGGGCTGTGTATTTGCAAGAATTTGGCGATATGATACATATCATAACAGAGGGGTCACGATACGATATATCCCGATAT